TTTCTCTAGACATTTACCATAATGGTGTATCATTTCTTAGAGCTTTCTCTCTCTGGGAAATAATGAATGCATTCATTCTCCAAACTTGCTGCTCACCTCCTGCTCTCAACCCTGAAAGGCTGTCTAATCACAGGGGCAAAACCTTCCCTTGTCCCACTGCACTCTATTTCAAAGCTAATATTAATGCTGTTCTCTGTGCTTCCTCTCCAGGCAACAGGAGGTGGACCACTTTTTGTGGAAAGAATAGCTCTTCTTACTTAGTTGGAGTGATTGCAGTGAGTCAGGCAGCCTGGGAGTAAGCCACCTTGACTCAACGAAAAGAACTGATGTAAGTGCTCATAGCAAAGATAAGGAAGGCTGCTTTTTTAAAGGGAATTAGTAAAGTGGATGGCCACATGCAGCAGCGTCTGTGAGCTGCTGGAGCCGCAGCCTGGGTGCAGAGTTCTCATCCACAGCACGAGACAGGCACGACGCTCAGTCCCACTAGCAAGATCAGATCAGTGGGACTTGAATTATTGCAATGGATTAGTAACTAAGGACTTTGCTTTGGAAAATGAATTGCAGGCCTCAGTATAAAGCAAAGGGAGAGTCCAAAATCCAATTCATACTGGTTCATGAATGAGAATACCTTGGCTCAAAGAGGCTGTGTGTAGAAAACACCCCCACCCCCATCTGACCCTGGGAAATCCCAGATGAATATGAATGAATCAAACTGGAATTCTGAAGTATGTTATAATTTGGGTTTCTAAAAATATGTCATGCCTACTTTAAAAAAATGATCTAATGAGTTTAAACATACAGAAACACACACACACAGACACGCAATGCAAAAGTACTTTTTTCATTGCTGTGAGAAACAATCATTTGAAAATAAGAGTGTATTCTGGGGTAGAATGATATAAGCGACCAATTGTCCACATTTTTAAAACGAATCTTACGAAACAGTAGCAATTTGTAGTCTAGAAGGCGTTATTTATTCCCAAAGAATTCAGTCATGCCGTCACAGGTTTCACTATGGAAGAGCTCTGATATAACAACGAAGGGCAGGAAACCAAGCAAAATACACATATAAAATTACTGCCTGTAAGACTTTGAAGGGATGGTTCAACACTTAAGAGCACTGGCTACTCGTGCAGAGGACCCAAGTTCAGTTCCCAGCACCCAAGTGGTGGCTAACAACTATCCTTAACTCTAGCTTCAGGGGACCTGATGCCCGCCGATGCCCTCTTCTGGACCCCATAGGCACTGCATACATGTGGTACACTTGTACACAGGCAAAACACTCATATGCAAAATAATAAATAAATGAATAAATAGTAAATGAATAAATAAATCACACCCTGTACCATGTGTGTCTAGGTTCAGGCTTGTCATTAATCCTCCAAATCACTCAGTACTATGCTGAGTGGACTGTGGTATTTTTCCTACAACATTCTGTTTTGTTTATCATAGAATCAGTGATCCTAACAAATGATTTGAGAGAAAAATTATTCCAATAGTCTGTTGGGCACGAATTCTAGTGAATTCATTTGGGAAAACTAGAGATTTCTCATATTCAATGTTTAAGAAAATACCTAAGCACAACGTGGAAATCCTCCATTTCGTCAAACAACCCTCATGTGACATCTTAGAGGTGACTCCTATGTATTATTTCTGGTATTGAATTTTAATCACTTTAAGTTTCTATGCTCTGGCCGTAAACTGTGGATAAAACTGCTAGGACAAGCAGGCTAAGCTAAAGGCATTCCATATAGCAAACTCAGCTCTTAAACACTAGCTGACATATTTCTGTACATATTTATAAGGCATCTTGGTTATTATTAGGCTGTAATTGCAGTTGTTCTAACACCTAATAAGCCATGGTTGGAAAAACAAAAGCAGGTTAATTTGTGATTTCCTCTACTCATTCAGAGGCAAATTAAGTGTCAAACAGCTAATACAGAACATATTTCATTTTATGAGATTTTAATTTAATTCTGCACCATATCACTGATGCCTTAATATAGGGTGGTTTATCTAAAAAGAGGAGCAATTTATATACCTTTTCCAATAGACTCGTTAATGATGAGATATGATGGCATAATTACTGCAGCGCCTGCCATCCTTCTCAACAGAGGTCTGTCAGCATTTCCATCAACACAAGCCCTTGTTTTCCAGAGTCTTATAATTTATTTTCTAAAGTTGGCACCAGAAAAACAATTGTGTTTACAAAATAATAATATCCTCAAGTTTTATCTTCTTATAATTAAAAATATCCACTCTAAAAGCTCAGTAAGCTCACTTGATCTCATTTTCTAGAAGAAATTATACAGCCAGCAGTTTTAAATTCAAGTTCTTTTACTTTTGAAATAAAACTGCTTTGAAGATCTGGGTATATGGAGCCAGATTTGCCAGGATCACCATCAATTTTAAGGATGATCATAGACATGTGCTGATAAAAGGGTGTATAAGCAGCTGGATCATCATAGAGCACAGTAAGGAAGAAACCTGATGCCCTTCCTCACATGCTAACCCTAAATATCTGTTTAGAGCTCCAAGCTTTTCAGAGTGCACACAATGAATGTCATCTCACTGAACTCTTCCTGCAAGCCAGGTAGCTTCATTTCCATGAAGTGAAATCACCATACCAAGAAGTTGTCAGAGCCTACAGCACAAGCAAGTGGCAAAGAAAAAGGAAAAGTCAAACCCTCTCATACCTCAGCCATGGTCTCACAGACTAGACCAGCCCGACTACCAACTGAGCAGCACCATTTACTACATCTGTCTGTCCACACGATAAGCACTATCCACTAAATAGCAGGGGGCAGTGACTACTCAGATTAAGAAGCGAGAGGAAAATCATTACAATATTGGTACATGTAAGGTACCCACTAGAGTGGGTGCAGGTGGAACTTCAGTTAGGCTTTAAGCCACAGCTCACCATGTAGCAAAGGAAGGCCCTGAAGGCAATGCAAAGGGAATGTGTTATGAAAGCATGCATATGTGACTCCCCATGTGATAAGCTCAGTGTCCACACAAGGGATCTTCTAGGACATGTCCCAGTGGAGCAGTCCCAGAAAGCCACAAACACACAAGGCCCCATGTTCCGTGCCCACAGCCACGCCATCCTCTCAAAACCCTCCAGGATTTATTTCCCTGCTGAGGCTCAGAATTATCATACAGACTTATATCACAAATCTTTGATAATTATATATGTAGGCTGCTTGAGAACAATTTAGTCAATTATTGCTTAAGTATCTTAAAACTTGGCTGAAAAAAATACAAAGTATAGTTCAAAGTGTAATTCTACATCCTACTTGCAGCCTTCTCCAGACCTGACCTGCTTTATCTGTCATTGCCTGTGCTATGAGCTCGAGCAGGGAGGGTTTGCTCTTACCTCTGCCAAACAGCCATCATGTGAGATTTTTAATTTATAAATTTTTATTTGAATTTAATTATAAGGCAAACTATAATAATCCCAGAGGACATGGTTCAGCCTATTATTTAAGTTCAGTTTTAAACATTTCTTTAGAGCATGATTTTTGAAGAGTGAAGAACTCCCAAATTCCACAGAAAATCTGACTTAAATTACTTCATCAAAAAGATTCGAGTATGGAACGAATTAGCCATCATTGTCTCTTAGGCCTTGCATGCACTGTCTGCAGGATAGATCCTCATCTTAGATCCATGTGGTCCCACCATACCATAAAGGCTCTGAAAAACTGGTGAATTACATGTCATGCTGCAGACCGAATTTGGAATTTCCTTCCCTTTGAGTAGTAAATCTTAAATTGGTCCTATGGTTTTATGTGTGTATCTTTTTAGCAGGTTTCAGAACCCTGTAAATACTTACTTGTGTTCCAGTAATAAGTCGAAGAATAAGTCACAAGTTTCTGCATTCTCCCTCTATAAATACCCACTTCTGCAATGCTTATAGAAGTCTGCAACACAGATTTATTACTCACCTCCAGGCAAATGTGAGCCGAAATTACAATTCAGTAATGGGAGATAGATCCAAAAAATGGTTGGTAAAATATTATATGTGTATGTGGGCATGTAGTTAGGACTGTTAATATCAATTAATTCTGTTCACAGAGGAGGACTTGTTTTAAAACAACTTCATTTTTCTTCAGCATACTATGTAATTACACAGCTGTAACTAATAGCCATGGAGATGCAATCTACCATCTATATAACCAACATTATTCTTCAAAGTATTATTTGTGCTTTTCTAACTTCACTGTCTCAGAATGAAAGGTGATTATTACATATGACTAAATGTGTATCAAGGCCATTAGCAAGGGACAGCCCCTCCCAGAGAGTGGCTCCAATTATCACAGTAGATGACAGTTTTCTAACGGTACTGAAAAAGAATGCTTTGTTAGTCTATAAACCCACTATTCTTTTCCTCCCTCCAAAACCAAGTGAGATGATATTTATTTCCACAAGATTTTCTTTTTCCTTTTATAATACATGGTATCCCCACATTCTTTTCTTTTATCTTCATGTAAATCATGTGCTCAATCATATTTGCCATTTTGTTTGGGTGACAGTCTCATCAATCAAATGACTGTATACACTGGTACACATACCACAGGGACTATGAGAATGTATCATAAAAATTTCATTATGATCCACTGTGATCCCCGAGTCAGAACTTTCACGTAACAAAAATTTTAGCATGAAAAACTTTGAACCTAATCTCGACCAAACACATATTCTAAGTTGGTGACCTTCTGCTAAGTTTTAACTCTTTGTGTTTACAGCTCACAGAACATAAATCAGCAAAATATTCAGGAAACAGTTGTCAGCTAACTCATGTGACAGGTATCCTCAGAAAGTGGCAGGGGTCTGCTTCAGGGAAGCTGGGAACAAGCACAGCCTTGCTGTGCTGCAAAAGTAAATCTTACACTTCTATCACATTTTCAAAGCCTAGAAGACATGCCACTAACAAAGAGTCCTGAGACCATAAAGCCAGTATTTAGTTCCATTTCATTAATGGGTAAGGTTTTAATACTTACACATGTAATGGAGGAATAGGAGACGGGTCATAATGGTAACGGCCCTCATGATGTCTGGCATCAATTGGCACAGGAGGATGGAAGGCAGGGAAAAGATGAGGGGGGTCTGAAAAAGAAAGAAAATCATCCTACATAAAATGGACATTTGGAAATAGCATTTCAACTCAAGGCAAATCACTAAACTGGATGTCCTTTAAGAATTTCTATAGCTGGGGGCTGGAGAGATGGCTCAGCAGTTAAGAGCACTGGCTGCTCTTGCAGAGGACCCAGGTTCCATTCCTAGCACCCACATAGTGGCTAACAACCACCATAACTCCAATTCCAGTGGATTCAATACCCTCTTCTGGCTTCCTCGAGCACTGTACGACATAAGTGCACTTCCACACATGCAGGCATAAACACTCACACACATAAAATAAAAACAAATAAAGAATTTCTACAAATGGAGCTGAAGAAATGGCTCAGCAGTTAAAAGCATTTGCTGTTCTTGCAGAGGACCTGAGTTCAGTTCCAGCACCCATGTCATGTAGCTCACAACCACCCATAACTCCAACTCCTGGGGATCTGTGGTATCCTTGGGCACTGTTGTCCTACACAAACCCCCAGCCAGACACATGTAATTAAACATAAAATAAAATCCTTTTAAAATGTATTTCGAGAACAATTCTTGAAAGTTAATGCTGAAGGTCACTTACATACTGTAGAAATCAGACTGAACAAGTAACACATACCTGCTCTGGGGAAAGCAGAGACTATGCATGCACCTAAAACTCAGCCAGAAAAACAAAACCAAGAATGAGAGGACAGAACAGCTTCCCAGTGTGGAAGGAAGGCTACTCAGAGGAGAAAGCTAAAAGGAGCCACAAACCAAGAGGAAAAGGACATTATCAAGTCAATTCTAGATAAAGTATTGTAATAAAAACATATTAGTGCCATGCCTCCCACGCCCTTGAAGTCTTTAAAGGTGTCCTTTCCAGAGTTTTCTGTCATTTATGTACTCATACATACATGCATTCTTTATTTTAATGCGCATTCCCCTTTTCCTTGGCCTAAGTTGTTGGCCTCCACAATCCTAACACCAGGGCAGTCAAACTTCCTGTAGGCCAGAGGAGACAAAAGGGCCTGGATGGGAGTGAGCAGACCTCACTCCCCTCACAGAGGGGCGATGTGAGGAAAATGGAAGGAATGGCTGCCAGTAATGCCCCCCACCTCCTGCTCTTCCTCACACCCTGTCCATCAGCTCCTGTGTCCTGTATATGTGCGTCCACCTTTAGATAACCTCTTTACACAAATTCACTTATGGTACTTAATACCCATAGCCTCTTGCAAGTCTGAAAATAGTTTTATTTTAAAAATAGTGATCTGCTGTACAAATTGAAAAGCTTTAATAGATTTTATAATTAGAAATGTAACTACTTTGTAACTGCACTGTTTTGCCCAAGTTTCAAAAGTAAAATAAAGGAGACTAAAACCCGACTCCAGTCTGATATTACAGCAAATATGCCAGAACATGTCCCTCAAATACCTCCTTTGGCACCAAGAGCCAGCCTGTGACAACAGGAGCCTGCACAGCAGGCAAATCTTAGAGTAGTTCCCAGTTAGTTCTAGATCCTGAACACTGTATGCTAAGGTTGTAGCAGGCTTAAAGGCAAGTCCAATGGAAACCCCATGAAGAGGGTCTGATTATCCTGAGCAGACACTGGAAGGCGTAGAAACAGACAGTGAGGGCTGGGAGACTGCCAAGCACATGAGGCAGGGATGTGAATGAACTGTACCTCCTAGGTCCACAGCAACGCACCCAGCTGAGAATAGTAAGTTCTGAGTGTTAAACGATGTGGGTGACTACCATACAAGTCTGCTGAATCCAGATGGATGTCACTCCTTCCTGTATACACAGCCCTCAATTTTCCAATTTTCCTTTGATATATCTTTTAGAAGGTAAGTACTGCCTCCCTTGTTTTGAGCTTTTTGCCTTACCGCCTTCTTTTATGATGTTAGACTATGCTTAGGGAAAAAAAAAGGAGTGAGAAACCAGAAAACGGTGCAAGAGGCCTATGGTACTGAGCAATGTCCTTGCTCTTAACGAATTTTGTGGTTGGTATTGTAAGACTAAGGAGAATGTGGATGGTTTAGAAGCAGGGAAGGAATTATTTTGATATTATCAAATCACTATCACTGGGATATCATAATACTGGAAACTCATCAGGTGGTAGTGATGCTGCCTACTGATCATCTGCCTGTCATCCTTATATACTGCATAAAGTACACATGAAAAAGAATCAACTACATTTTAAGTTCAATGATTAGAGCTTAAGGATTGAGAGTCATTGCTTTCGTAATACAAATATTATTTGGTTTGCCAAGTTTGAAAGTTTAAGGTAAAAATTTATTCAGCAACTTTGCAAATTCATTGTTACACTTAACTCAGCAATCCTGAGATCAAAAAACCACTCCCTGGAAAGCCAAGATATTCTATTTTATTTAATCATTTTTGATGGAAACTATCCAGCCTCCATAAGATGACATAAAACTAAGTGGAAGAGTCTTTGAAACTAGTTTGAGAGTCTAACAAACACTCAGTGAATGTTTCTGGACTTTAGATTTTGAATCAAACCCACATTAATCACAATCAAATCCAGCATTAAAGCAGGTGACCATCAAATATGGGGCAGGTCTCCCTTCCTTTCCACACCAAAGCATGCTTGCCTCTGACACTTCCCCCAAAGAAACATACTTATTAGAACTACATGGAAATTAAGTATTGGTAAAATATGTTCACTTCCAAAGCGCTTCTCACGTATACCTGTTTCAAGGGTCGCTATGACAACTATGTCAGAGTTCCTGGCTGCATTAATAGTCTATCCACCAGATAAGTGGATGTAAAGGATATCTTGTTTCCTCCGTGTGGGTAAAACTATGAATGATGACAACTACAGTACCATATTTCACACACAGGTATGTGTGAATGCATTCCATATTTAATGTATGCCTCCTATATCCAAGAAACAACAGCCATTATCTTATATGGAAGTATCTGTAATGAAGCTGCAGTAATTACACACAGGAAGACTAACCAACTAACTCTATAAACTCAAACTGTGTGCCTGAGCCATACCAACATCTATTCTCCAGCGAAAACATATAACAATATCCGTGACACTGACTTTTTCCAACTTTTCATTTTCAAGCAATTATTCTTTCCAGCTGTAAAGCACCCATTTCACCCTTTCCTTTCTAAAATGAGAGAAAAAAAATGACCAACCACAGTATGAGAGGAAAATATTAAACACAATTATTAGGTATTTCTCAACTGCTAGGTCTGCAGAATTTTAAAAAAATGTGAGTTAATTCTGACTCAAAGTGTGCAATGTATATTGTAGCACTGTTTATACAGCATTTTTGTGCCCAAGAAAATTTATGAATTCTTCATTCTGGAATTAGGTTTAAGTAAAAAACAGAAAATTAATAGATGTCATGTGATGTGCCTGAAGGACAGCTGGTTGTAGTGAAGTGTCTTGCTGCTCCTCTGCTCTCTCTTAAGTTTAAAACAGCTTTTCCTCTGGACTGTTAAAGCCTATGTGAACAACTGTAGCTTTTGTGGGTTATCAGTACAAATCGCCCCTTTTAAGCCACTTTTTTGGGAAACGGCAAAGAAGACCCTCTTCTGGTTCGAGGGAAGCTTGACATAGTCGGAAGTGATAAATAAAGAATACAAAGTGGGACGAGGAATGTCCCCTGGAATACACGGCATCACACAACAGGAATCGCACGCTCCTCCGAAGACGCTTCCAGGTCCTCAAATGCTAGCCTCGCCTTGCATCCTGGTTTGTTGTTTCTATGCTTCTGCCACATATTCCATCACAGACCCAAAAAGCTGTCCAAGAAAACCCACAAGACAAGAAAAGGCCCCTGTCGCCAGCAGCCACCATAATTATCCACCTACCGGTTTATTATTTACACATGAGCACAGCTGGGGCGCATCATAACTCAAGTATATGTGCAATACATTACAGCACCACAGCCATCTCCTGCCCCAGCCCTTGACAAAACGCCCCATGATGACTTCTCCAAAGTCAGGCAAAAACTGCTGAAGCAGAGGGAAGTGCCACTAAACCTGGCTACCTCCTATTTATCATACAATTTCCTGACTGATGGTTCCACAAACCAGCTGCTAAGTGCTGTGTACTCTACTGTCAGCAAACTAACGTGCTAAATGGAAGACAGGGAGAGTAATGTACAGAACCGGTGGAATCAATTTTACTGAGGGAATTAAAATTCCACCAGGTGGGGGTGGGACTGCAGAACAGTAGTGAGCAGTGGACTATACAAGCGCATGGCTGCAAAGATGATTTATTACAGACTTGCGAGAGGTTTGACTATGGTACCTGAGTTTTCTTATACTGAACAGAGATTTGAAGGGTGTGTCCTAGTGGAGCCCTAATGGAACAGTCTTTAAGCCATATAAATATGCAATTGGCTTTATAGGTGTTTAAATTGAAATGCATAGTAAAAATGTTTGTCCTGGGTAGAGTTGTCACTATTCAATTTCACACTGTCACCATGCTGAACATTATGGGTCTCATTAGGAATGAGAAGCGCTGAGTTTTAACTTTGACAACAACCTACGCTGATCATAAAACCTGTACCCAGAGAATACCAAGGATGCTTAGAGATTTATCTTTAGTTGCAACCTTCTCCCAAGAAATAGGTTTAGTATCCTCAGGCTATTAAGATCTTTTGGATGCCATCCTGGGAAACTCTTCTAATGTTTGAAATTTACATACAAAAACCGAAGATTAAAAAAGAGAGAGATCAAAGTTGGCTCAGTTAGTGCCCTGAAGGAATAATTCACCAAAAGATGGCAGAGTGGCCTAAGTGCCCAGGAGGCAACACAAGGGAATCCACAGCAGTAAACTGCCAGGTGCAGAAGTCCTCCCGGTTGATTTAAAAAGCAAGGGATCTAAACACAGACCCTGGGATTTTTCTCAAGAACAGAGCTAGAGATGACTGCTTGTTGCTAGTCAGCATCATCCATAGAAAGGACTGCCCCTGACATCTGCCATCGGGAGAAATATCATTAAGAAGATGCATGTGACAAGTCCCACA